ATATAGAAAAACAAGTATTTAACTATTGATTAACCCAAATTCTAACACTCCTGTCCTCGAAAATTCAAAATTCATAACACCGATCACATGCGCAATCCCAAATTCTATATGCCCATTTTATGTTCTGAGATATTTATGTATGGAAAACATGTGCGTAATTTTTTTTATTCATCTGCATTCGACGGCCCGATATATGGCTGTCTGTATCCGCTGGCCTCAACCTCTGTGTCCATTTTTAGTTTCTTCACAACCAGAGGACCGTCTATGACTTTTTGACTGCTCGACCGTGAACCCCTCGGGCTTAGCGCCAGGGGTAAGAATGCTCTCCTTTGACATGGAGTACTGGTTGCGTCCGCAGACATAGCGGGTTGAGAATAAGGGACATTCTCGGCTTGTGCTTCGAAACAGTCCTCGTTTAAATCAGCATGGTTCGCGAGCTCCGTCGGTGAAGTGTCGCCACTGCCAGCACAGAGGCGTAGGTACAAGGAATTGATTTCATACGTTGACAGACCGCACGAATTCCAGAACCCAATGACACCTTGGGCATCAATAGCTTTCAAGAATATCTCAATGTCATCTATAGGCGGGGCCTTTTTAACCTGTAGCACGTAGTTAGACCGATCATATACGGATCCGTCATAATAGTGTAAATGATAATCAATAGATACGCGTTCATTGGCCAGGAGCCAACTGCTCGTATCGAATTTTTCCGAGCATTCAAAATTGATACAACCTACATGCCGCACAAACTCAGAGTGTATTTAAGCGTATATGGTGAAAGTCGAAGTGGAGCGAAAGGGGTTCTACAGCCAACAGAGAGGTATTCAGCCCGGCAGGCTGATACTTGACTACGCACTTCCGAAACTACACTAGAATCGAAACAAATATAACTAAAAGCTTGTCAAAGATACCGATGGTACGTGATTTTCGTCAGAGCGCACGTAGTCCGCAATGATAGCGGATCGACACACTCCACACAAAAGTTGTATTGCTGCCACCACCAACCCGGTCCGATCGTCATCTGCAAAAAGGCAAATCAATCACGGCATGACGCCCGCTCATACTGTGAAAACGCAAGTATTTCAGCTTATTGCTCACCCAAAAATAATGACATATTTGGCACAGTACTACCTCATACTCCATGACTGAGATATCCAACAACCGCATGGAGTGGCCACGTACACTTGCAAGGGACCTGGTGCCATCGGCCAACTCAAATGTATCCGCAATATATCCGTGCCTATAATCGGCTGTGCGGAAGACTCCGCCATAAGCTACATATACCTGTAGCGCAGTGAATCAGCATCGGCAGCGGAGCTCCCATCAGTTCACGGAAGACCCTGGCAAAGACTTTCTGCCCTTCATCTGCATCCAAATCGATTCTACGGTTACACAAGTAATAAGGACTACTGGGATTCTACGGTTACACAAGTAATAAGGACTACTGGGATTCTACGGTTACACAAGTAATAAGGACTACTGGGATTCTACTGTTACACAAGTAATAAGGGCTACTGGGATTCTACGGTTACACAAGTAATAAGGACTACTGGGATTCTACGGTTACACAAGTAATAAGGACTACTGGGATTTTACGGTTACACAAGTAATAAGGACTACTGGGATTCTACGACTACACAAGTAATAAGGACTACTGGCGATCCAGAAGCAAAGTTACTACTCGACAAAAAGGGCTCACTGAAGTCTATATTACACTAGGACGAGAGATGGTGTTGCATAACCGATGTTGTAGCACGAGCCGCATAAACCCTCTGCGAAGACATGGACTTTCTACAAAGAGCTTCTGTATCTACTTACAAACAAATGATAGACACATACGTTTGCGTATTTATTCGTACTTTCTCTCATACGTACGCTTAGGGGTACATAGATATTTGTAAGTGTATAAACCCCAGACTGTGCGCCAACAGCGCCATATCAAAATATCGACCAAATTATCACCATTTCTGCCAGTATTTGTCTAGACGGACCCCATCAAATGTTAACAACTACCAATACACCAGGGTTTCCGTCTGGAAAGGTTCTGACATGTATACACACCTGAAATCCATGAGGCAGTATCTCGATTCTGGCCCTCGTCATTAGTCGCAATGGTGATATATTGCACTTCGCTAGAGTTAACGGCGACGCTTCTCTCTCCTTCCGTACGATTTCGGAGTTCTACACGGAGTGGAAAACAATGAGCAATGAGGCCCTTATGTTGTAGTATCGCATGTAGCGTCCCTGCATCGAAAGTATCAGCACTACAGAGAATGGGCCGATTGAGAATGGCAGAATATAAAAAACTTCACAGTCTTAGAAGTACTCGTGTGTGTTCTCTATGCAAATACACGATCGGACAGCTAACCCATACAGTAATGTTTCGAAGATACACCCGAAAAAACCTCTTCGAATATACAAGCCATAAGCATTGTCGTAGTTCCCAACGCTTTCAGACCACACTGTTTTCAACTAGTAACAAAAGTACCTACCTAAGACAGAATTAATATTGTACTCCTGTAATAGTGACAATAGTGGAATTGACTCGTGGTGCCCAGCGCGGTATATTGTATACACCAACAGATCTCCTGAAACAAGGCGGTGGAAGGATTCAAATCTCCTGAATTGAAGGAATAAGCTCTTCTCCAAGACGAGAACAATACATAACAATACGCACGTTCAAATGCGCGCTTCATGGATAGACATGCATACAACGAAACACAATGTATATACACGCAAACATACGTCATATACACATCTAAACTATATATATATATACCTATATATATATATATATAGGTATGTATAGGTATATATATATATATGTAAATATATACAGATATATTTAAAATATATATATATATATATATGTATATACATATATATTTATATAAATATATATATATATATATTTATATAAATATATATATATATATATATATATATATATGTATATATATATATATTATATATATCTGTACATATATATATATATGATATATATATATATATATATACCTATATATATATATATATATATATCCACATACAAATATATATATATGTATGTATTTCAGTACGAATGGGTATGTGTATATGCATGTATACCTGAATTGTATATATACATACATACATACAAAAACACATACATACATACATATATATTTATATACAGTCACACACACACATATATATGTATATATATTAGTATATCTATATATATAAATATAAATTCATATTTATATATATACATATATATACATATATATATGCATACATATGCATACAAACATATACACACATACATACATATATATATATACATATGTATATATATATACATA